ATAGGGACTCAAAACAGCACTTGACCTACTCAATTTAGCTTTTCTCTTTAGCTAATTGAATAACTTGCACTGTATCAAAACTGATCAAATTTTATGCAAAATTTGGTTTCATCACTTTTTTTTATGACAACCAAAGTGTTGTTTGTTTTCAGGTTTGGTCATCCTAGGTTTTAACTTGTTAATGGTACAAGGTCTCTAATTGCTGAAATATATTTTTCATAAAAATTTTATTTGACAACGTCTTCAATTTTTCAAAATGAACCTGACCTTCAAGCTGAAATTAATTAGAAATGGCTTTTTAATACTGCGCGTTTGCCTTTTTTAAACTTAAAAAAAAACGCATGGCAAAAAGATCTTGTATGAAAATTGTTTTTGAAAGTTGTAATTAAATAATTCTTCTGCTGTTTCAGAAAGGCGCAATAGTTTTGAATTGCTCTGTTGACAGTTCAAAAAATAACTATCAAATACCGTTGCAATTTCAACGTTTTTTCACTATCGTAAGGTCCAATTTTTTTCAAAAACTTCAAACGTTTTCCAATAGCTTTGTTAAAAACTAAAATTTTGAATTTCTCATTGAGTTTGATTGAAAATAATTCTGGGAAGTTCCTGTTAAATTTTTGCTCGGAGTACTATGTTTTGGTCTGAAAATATGCATGCCAGAGCGCCGTTGAATTAAAAATGTTTTGAAGCTATGTGATTGAACTTTTTGCAAAAAAATAGACACATCTGAAAAATCGTGATCGCTCTGCATTGTTTTTTGACAGTTTATAGTTAATGCCAAAGTATCTTTTTCGCTCAACGAATCTGAACAAAGTTAATTAACCTATAACTGCTTATTTCGTTATGGTATCGTTATTGATCGATTAAATCGCGCAAGTTTACCGATATCCCCAACATTGTGGCGTTAACTATTAACTCAAGGTCAGAATTATTTGAGAAAATTAAAACGTTGTCCGGTAAATACTTTGAAACTACAACTTGGTTTTTATTTATAAGTGTATAGCAAAGGAAAAAACCCCTGCTATGAGTAGTATGACACCGTTACAATTGCTTTTTTATAGGACTGATTTATAAATTTTTACTTGGGTTTATCCATAGCAAAATTTTGAAAAAAAAATTTACTGCTCCGAGTATGACAAGCTAAGGTTAATTAATCTTGCATTCATTTATTGAATCGACAGAGTTTTTACTTAGAGTGAGTTTTGAGTGGTGAAAATGCTCTGAAAAAGCAGTCCGGTTATATATTTTCCTTACTTTCTGAGAGAAAAATCAGAAACATTAGATGTGCAAAGCGACTTTGTTGTAAATTTACGAGTTTTTGATGTCAAAGGACATGCTTGGATTTTTTCAGACAGTTTCTACAATTTATCACCAAAAACGTCCCTGCTGTAGCGAGCAAAGGACTCGATACTTATTTTTCTCAAACAGCCAAGTGGTTGAGCGGCAGAATTAGAACCATTAAGTCAATGTAAATTTTCAGCAATCTCCCATATTAGATGGTTTCGACAATCTGACTTTTCGACATTTGGCATACGTCTTTCATTCAGGCAAGCAAATGATTTCAAATATTTAAGTTGTAAGTGTTCCCAGGGCTGGAAAATCAAGAGCTGGTTTTAGATTATATAGAGTAACGGGTATGAAATGTGCTTTGCTTAGATATTCATTAATGATATATCAAGAATATATTTTAATGACTCACCAGATATCAAAGCAATCAATTCTGCTTTGATGTTTTGGATTAAAGTTTAATTTAACTACTTTTACTATTCAAACTGCACCTGCACTAAGCAAGTGGTCATTGCCTAGTAAAAAATTAAAACTTAATGCTTTATGATACTAAATGGCTAAAAAAGATGATTTTTTGGAACTTTAAAAACAATCAAGGTAAGTTC